GAGATGCAGACCCAGGAAGCCTGTCCAGGGAGGCAGCGGCCGTCGCTGCGGGGGGAGACATGTTCCCCATGCGTGGGGTGGGGCCACTGGAAGGCGATGGCCTGAGAACCTCCTGGGAGGCCGGTGCTCCTGTGCCTGTCCTCATCAGGGAGGCGAGATGGGGAGTGTGGACGGTTCTTTTGATGGGGCGTGAATGATCATCAGCGAGAACAGAGGGACTCCAGAGACAGGAATTAACTTGTAAATGATTCCCTTTGGAATTCGAATGATCTCTAGAGGAGACATTATCTGGGGGACGGGTCTGTCCAGGTGAGGCTGCATTGCTGCTGCCCTCTTTTCTGAGGTTTCAGGGAAGGGGTGGAAGGCGACTGCTTTCCCGTGGTGGGGCCGGCCCTAAGGCAGAAAAGGGAAAATCACAGCAGGGCCTTTTCCAGCATCTGCTGCCCTTAAGTGGCCTCTGATTTAAAGCAATGAGTAAGCCAGGGCACCATATGTGAGCCAAAAATAAAATTCCAAGCCTGCAGTTGACTGAATGGACCCCCCTCTTGGCCAAGGGTACTCAAAGAAACCTGAAAAACGAGTTCAGGCTATGAGAGGAAGGTGGGGACCAGACAGGTCCCATTAGACCCTCCTCCTTTTGGAGTTCAGGAACAACTGACCAGCATTAACATTAAAACGGAGCTCTTCAGCCTGACAAAACAGGCCGGGCACAGTGGCTCACGCCCGTAATCCCAACACTTTGGAAGGCTGAGGCCAGAGGATCTCCTGAGCTCAGGAGTTCAAGACCAGTCTAGGCAACATAAGGAGACCTCATCTCTCAAAACAAAACAAAACAAATCAGCCAGGTGTGGTGGTGTGTACCTGTGGTCCCAGCCACTCAGGAGGTAGAGGCAGGAGGACAGCTTGAGCCAGAAAGGCCCAGGCTGCACTGAGCTGGGCCACTCAATTCCAGCCAGGAGGACAGAGGGAGATCCTGTCTCCAAAAAAAAAAAAAAAAAAAAAACTGAGTAAACAGACTGTAAGATCCCAAATGCCAGCCTGACTCTGGCATAACATCACATGACAAACAAGGAAAGAAAAATATTTTATCCGCAAATACGTGTATTTGTCATAGTTCGAAAAGGCCCTATTGGCCGGGCGTGGTGGCTCATGCCTGTAATGCCAGCACTCTGGGAGACTGAGGCGGGTGGATTGCCTGAGTTCAGGAGCTCAAGACCAGCCTGGGCAACACGGTGAAACCCTGTGTCTACTAAAAATACAGAAACTTAGCCGGGCATGGCAGCGTGCGCCTGTAATCCCAGCTACTCGGGAGGCTGAGGCAGGCAGATCACCTGAGGTTGGGAGTTCGAGACCAGCCTGACCACCCAGCCAACATGGAGAAACCCTGTCTTTACTAAAGGTACAAAATTAGCCAGGCATGTGGTGCAAGCTGTAATCCCACACATTTGGGAGGCTGAGGCAGGAGAATTGCTAGAACCTGAGGTAGAGGTTTCCAGTGAGCTGAGATGCACCACCTTGCACTCCAGCCTGGGCGACAAGTGAGACTCCATCAAAAAAAAAAAAAAAAAACCAAGACCACTGTGTGGCTGACGCGGTGGCTCACGCCTATAATCCCAGCACTTTGGGAGGCTAAGGCAGGCAGATCACCTGAGGTTGGGAGTTCGAGACCAGCCCCAGCCAACATGGAAACCCTGTCTTTACTAAAGGTACAAAATTAGCCAGGCATGTGGTGCATGGCTGTAATCCCACACATTTGGGAGGCTGAGGGCAGGAGGAAATTATGGCTGTAATCCCACACATTTGGGAGGCTGAGGCAGGAGAATTGCTTGAACCCAGGAGGCAGAGGTTGTGGTGAGCCCAGATCACGCCATTGCACTCCAGCCTGGGCAACAAGGGTGAAATTCCATCTAAAAAAAAAAGAGAGAGAAAAAAGGAAAAAAGAAAGAAAAGAAGAAAAAGTCCTGCAAAGCCATCTTGTGTGGGGGAAAATTTGTGTCTATAAGGAATCTCTATTAACATAACTAGCTCTTTCCCCTTCTGGGCCCTCCCAATCCTGAAGAGGTTACCTGAGAGTCCAGCACCTTCTAAAGGTCTACATAGGAAACATTTGCCATCTATTGTCTTTAAGGACAGACACCTATGGGACTTCATCTTCGTAGTAAGAACTTTGGTATCCACAACCCTTTATCTTTTTTTTTTTTTTTTTTGAGATGGAGTCTTGCTCTGTTGCCCAGGCTGGAGTGCAGTGGCCGGATCTCGGCTCACTGCAAGCTCCACCTCCCGGGTTTACGCCATTCTTCTGCCTCAGCCTCCCGAGTAGCTGGGACTACAGGCACCCACCACCTCGCCTGGCTAATTTTTTTGTATTTTTTAGTAGAGATGGGGTTTCACCGTGTTTGCCAGGATGGCCTCGATCTCCTGACCTCGTGATCCGCCTGTCTCGGCCTCCCAAAGTGCTGGGATTACAGGCGTGAGCCACCGCGCCCAGCCCACAACCCCTTATCTTAACCCAGATGCTCCTTCCTATTGGTCTTTAGATAATAACTTAACTCTTCAACCAACTGCCAATCAGATTATCTTTGAATCCACAATGCACCCAGGACCCGTAAGTCCCCACCTAGGACCCGTAAGGCCCCATCTATGACCTGAAAAGCCCCCATCTAGAACCCGTAAGGCTCCCACCCAGAACCTGTAAGGCCCCCATCTATGACCTGTAAGCCCCCAACTAGGACCCATAAGGCCCCACCCCCTGCTTTGAGTCGTTCTGCCTTCCTGAACCTGAGCAACTTGCACCTCACATGTACTAATTGATGCCGATGTCTCCCTAAAAGGTATAAAACCAAGCTGTCACCCAACCACCGGGGACACATGTGCTCAGGACATAATGAGACTGTGCCTCAGGCTATGATCACCGGTATTAGGCTCAGAATAAGCCTCTTTAAATATTGTACAGAGTTTGGCTCTTTTTGTCACACATATTTTGATGTGAAAATCGCTGGGCTCCTTCACCACCCTAGCTTGCTGTGGCATAGCCATGCCCCACACCCAGATCTGCCTGACGAGGGCCTGGGACCGAGGGGCCTTGGGGGGCCTGGTATGGCACTGCAGGGACCCCAGGTTTCCTTCCCCACCTTTCATTGCCCACGTCCTGCTTTGAGATCTGTTTGCGGGGGTAGAACGTTGGGGAGGGTCCAGCCTGCCCCCATCCGTGGGCCCCACAGCCACTGCGTCTGGGCCCTCCGGTCCCGGCAGTCTTGGGATTCTGGGTCAGTGGCTGCAATGAAAGGCTGGGCTTGTGGTTTCAGTCACAGGAGGCCAGGTCCTGCCCGCCTCTGGGCTGTGCTGGCTGGAATGAGGCTGGACCTGGAGCCCAGATAAGCTGAGGAGGAGGAGGAAAAGGGTGGGAGGGAGGAGGAGAAGCTCCAATTTCTGTCCAGGCCTCAGGCCTGGGTTCCCAGGAAGTTCAGCAGGTATGTGCTGGGCAAGGCGGGCCGGTAACCCCTGAGACGGACAACCCTCCCGCACCCAGCCCCACTCCTGCTGAGAGAACCCTGAGAGCCCTCGCCAGTCCCCTCCTCCCAGCTTGGGGGGCCAGAGCCTGCCAGCACTGGAGCAACCCCCCCGTGGCCACAGAGCAAGCACTTCAGGTGACCCAGGGATCTGGACAAGCGTATCAGAGGCCCACAGGAGGGGCTTCCAGCTTCTGAGGCTGGCAACGGCATTAAGAAGCTCAAAGTGAGACAGGCAGGCTGGCTCCTTTCCTGTTTTCAGATGGTCTGGAAGGGCCGGGCACGGTGACTCACACCTGTAATCCCAGCACTTTGGAAGGCTGAGGCAGATGGATCACTTGAGGCCAGGAGTTTGAGACCAGCCTGGCCAACATGGTGAATCCCCATCTCTACTAAAAAAATTAGCTGGGCGTGGTGGTGCATGCCTGTAATCCCAGCTACTGGGGAGTCTGAGGTGGGAGAATCGCTTGAACCCAGGAGGTGGAGGTTGCAGTGAGCTGAGATCACACCACTGCACTCCAGCCTGGGCAACAAGAGCAAGACTCCATCTCAAAACAAGGCCAGTGCGGTGGCTCACGCCTGTAATCCCAGCACTTTGGGAGGCCAAGGTGGGTGGATCACCTGAGGTTGGGAGTTTGAGACCAGCCTGACCAACAAGGAGAAACCTCGTTTTTACTAAAAATACAAAATTAGCCGGGCGTGGTGGTGCATGCCTGCAACCCCAGCCACTTGGGAGGCTGAGGCAGGAGAATCGCTTGAACCCGGGAGACGGAGATTGTGGTGAGCTGAGATCACGCCATTGCACTCCAGCCTGGGCAACAAGAGCGAAATTCTGTTTCGAAACAAAAACAAAAACAAACTCAGGACCCTGATTTCTGACACAAGAAAAAAATTAAACTGAAAGCTAAGTCATGTGAGAAGCTGCCTTTCTTTTTGTCCCTAAGCAGGTAGTTACAGATAACAGGTGAAGCATCTATCTCTTTTTTTTTTTTTTTAGATGGAGTCTCGCTCTGTTGCCCAGGCTGGAGTGCAGTGGCCGGATCTTGGCTCACTGCAAGCTCTGCCTCCCGGATTTACGCCATTCTCCTGTCTCAGCCTCCCGAGTAGCTGGGACTACAGGCCCCCGCCACCTCGCCCGGCTAGTTTTTTAGTAGAGACAGGGTTTCACCGGGTTGGCCAGGATGGATGGTCTCGATCTCCTGACCTCGTGATCCGCCCATCTCAGCCTCCCAAAGTGCTGGGATTACAGGCTTGAGCCACCACGCCCGGCCAAGAAGCATCTATCTCTATAGGAGACGTTCACCTTATTTTATGCAAGTGCAGGTTTCCGAGCGTGAGAGGCACACACAGCTGACGATTCCCCTGCCTGCTCCTCTTCTGTTGCAGCATGTGATTACCAAGGCTTGCCTCTTGCCCCTCCACCTGCTTTCCCCCCTTTAAATGGTGCAGCCCTCAAAAACATCTTTGGAGAAAGGCAGAGACCACAGACTGTTTCTATGACTCCATGTGCTTTTCTTCTGGGCATGTCCTCAACCTTGGCAAAATAAACTTCTTGATCGACTGAGCCCTACCTCTCATGTTTTTCGGTTTACAGCCCCCTCCCCGAGTATTAGGTGGAGCTCTCCAGAGCACACCCCAAAACAAAAATGAGCAGTAGGTATGTTCCCGAGGGGTCACTGTCCTGGGCACCCCCCTGAGGGCCTCCCAGAGCCCAGGGACTCCCCAGGTGTCCTGCCACGGGGCCAGCATCCTGGCATGAGTCCATCCCTCCGGGCTTTGGCTGCGGTGAGTGCTGGCTCCCAGCCAGGGGCTATAGAGCCACAGGCAGAGCAAGAGGCCAGCAGGGAGCATGCTGAGAAGACCAGCGTAGGCCCGGGGCAGGTCCCACCATGGGCTTCTCCCCACCTGCTGGACTGCGCTGGGCTGGATGCTGACCTGACCATGGGTCTCAGTCTGGATGGTCAACATTCCTCAGTGCGGCTGCAGCTGTCTGGACCACACCTCCTATGGCTGTGGCCCCATTTGGGTCCATTAGTCTGATTTATTTCCCTGGCAAGCCTGGCCCAGGTCTGTGGGGGGCAGGGGTGGGGAGAAGCTTATTCAGTACAGCTGAGCCTGGCTCCTTCCTGCACGTTCCCAAGCCCCTGTGGCTTGTGAAGCTGAGCTGAGAGGCCACCTAAGGCCAAGGATGGACAGAAGGCCTGTCTTGATGGGGAGGGCGGGAGGATGAGAGCAGCAGGCCTCTGTTCGCACAATCCTGCGGAGCCCAGACATCCACCAGCCAGCCCTGCTGTCTGTGAGCTTCTGGGCATCATTTGAAAACGTGAGATGCTCCATCTCTGGCCCCAGATTCCAGCCTGGGAATCCAGGAGGTGGTGAGTCAGCTTTAGGAAAGGCTAGATCAGGGAGCTCTGGGGCCACAGGGAGGACTCTGGAGAGGGAAGTGGAAGCAAGAGGCTGCAAGAGGCTAACTGGACACTGCACTCCCCAGCTCCACATACAGAGTGAGTGGGGCCAGTGAGCACTCCCCAGCTCCACGCAGCAGTGAGCAGGGTGGGTGAGCAGGTCTTAGGAGTCTGCCGACCTCGCTGAGTGTTAGGCACACGTGGAACCATCAGGCTCACCTGGAAGTTTCAGACTCAACCAGAGGCCTCCTGGACATGCAGGTCACCAACTCCACCCCAGACTACTTCAATTTCTCTGTTGGGGGCAGGTGGGGGCAGGGGGGTAGACATGTGTGTTAATTAAAGCTTTCTGGGAGTGTGGAGGACCAGCGTTGAGTATCACTGCCTGGAGTCTGAGTTTGGCCGTCAAAGACATTGGCCACTAGCTGCGTGTGTCCATTGGAATTTAATTAAATAAAACTGAAAGTGCAGTTCCTCAATTTCAAGGGTTCAATAGCAGCACCTGCTGGACACAGCAGCCCACAAGTTACAGAATGCCCACCAGGTGGGGTGAGCCCCTCTGGCACTGCCTTCCACATGCTGCCTCCCAGCTGGGGAAACTGAGGCAGGTCCCTGGGGAGCTGGGAGGTGAGCACCAAGGATCTAACTCCTGATTCAGAGCTCCCTCTGCTGGACAGAAAGGAGGTGACAGCACAGAGGTGACACCAGGGGCCTTGGAGCTGTCTGTGCAGACAAGTGATGACCCGGTGGTCCCACGTGTCCCCAGGGTGAGCATGAGATTGTGAGGAGGCACACGAGGCTTCGGAGAGGAGGTGAAGCAGGCGACTTCAGGCAGAGGGAAAAGCATGGCCCTAGGGATGTGGCTGGCATCCTGGGAACTGTAGGAAGATGCGGGTGCAGAGGTGTGTGGGGCTAGTGCATGGGGACCTGGAGCCCCTGGTCCAAGAGGGGCTGGGAACCAGGGAGGCATCTGAGCAGGGCTGGGTTTTGGGCAGTCCCTGGACTGTCCAGACACCCTCCTCTGTGGAACTGTGGGCCAGGCCCGAGGTTCGTATGTTATGCTTGTGCCTGTGGTCAGGAGGCTCAGCCTCAGGTGACAGAAACTCAAAGCTAAAAATGAAATGTCTTGGTTCACCCAACCAAAAGCACAGAAGTGGACCATTTCAGACCCGGCTGGATCCTGGTGTTCAAGCATCTTCATTCACTCGCTTCTCCCTCTCCGGGCTGGCATCACTGCCAGGCAGAGGCGGCCGCTGACAGGTGCAGTGCTCACAGCTCAGCACTGCCAGGGAGACTGCATCCCATTCCAGAATTCCAGCCTCTGTCCTGGACGGGTGCTCACAGGCTCCAGTCAGGCCAGGTGAGGCATCCACCCCCGAACCACAGGGGCTGAGGAGGGGACGCCCTGAAAGAATATCAGGAATGTGGTCACTCGACTGAAGGGAGCTGCGTGCTGGGCAGGCCAGCAGGGTCACCCAAGACAACTAGCACGCCATGTGGAAGGGTGCGGGAGTCCAGGTGGCCTCCCCGTCCTGGGACAGGTGCTCCGCTGGGGAGAGGCTGCTGTTTGCAAGGGCAGATGAAGGCGGCATCGTCTTTTGCTAGCGCAATACTCAGCAACCAGCACACCGCCCTGTAGCACTGCCCAACCCCAGGTCCTGTTCTCCAGAGTCAGCCCTGCCCACTCTCATTCCTGCCCCACCTGGGGCCCTCCCCAGGCACCTGGCCCAGGTAGATGCAGCCACTGTGGGGCCTCCGTTTCTGGGCCACCTGCAGTAGCTGTGAAGTCGGAGCCTGCAGGTACCTATCTATGTCACCTGATCATGTTGACTCCTCTCTGGTCCTCCTCCTGGTGTGGTTTCCTCCCTGCTTTCTAGCCAGTCAACCCCATGGTCTCCCGCTCTGAAGACCTCTGGTAGAGTTCCAGAGTCCTGGTGGCAGTTCAGTGTCCTGGGAAGCAGGCACTCAGGCCCTGCCTAGGATGCTCAGGCCTTATCACATAGAGGCAGGTGGCAGAGTGTCCCCAGGAATCCCGCTGGCCCTACAATCCCCACACATCTTCTCCATGTCTGCTCCCATCCTGGAAATGTGCTGTTCATTTTCAGATCTACCCCAAATGCACAGATTTCATCTTGGCCTGAGGTGCCTGCCCACGGCCCAAGCATATCAAAGTCCCAGTGGATCCAGATTTATCCTCAGGGCACCAGACATCTCTGAGCTCTGTTCCAGGGAAACATGCCCAGTCTGCTTTCCCCAGCTTTAGGCGAGGCGGGGCCCCAGGGAGGCCTGGTGATGAGCAACTTGGAGCAGTTCTCTCTGTGGCTGACTGGCCCACTGGGGGCCATTTCCACCTCCTCCTGCAGCAGTGTGAGAGGCTGTCTGTTGCCCCGCTGATGAGGATGTCCAGGCTTGGAGCCGTCTTGGGACTCCATTGCCGTCCCTGCTGTCACTGTCCGCCCTGCCTAGCACATCTGTCCGGGCCCACTTTGTGGAAAACACTCCTTTGACGTCAGAATGCCTGACACCCCATTCCAGGTCTTTCTCCTTCAGCGGGACCCAGATCCAGGCCACGTGAAGATGTTACACCTGCCAGAGCTGGAAAGAAAAATATCAACCTCGAAGCCTCTGTAGGGAGTTAGCCACAAGGGTGGCAGGATTGGATACTGGCTGCAGGAGCGAAATTCAACACCTGACCAGAAGGGCGTCCAGACTGGGGATGCTGAGGGGTTAGGAACTGAGAACTGGACTCTCTTTGCACAGTTGCAGCTAAGAAGGTGCTGTCCATCCTCGAACAAAGACCAGAATTCCCCTGGCCCGGCCTAGGCTGCGGCACAGAGCACTACCGTAAGTCTCTTTTCCTCCTGGTGATGAAATCGGGGTCAAGAATCTAATATGCGAACTTCGTTATAAGCCGGCGAGCCTCTTGCAGGTCCGGAGGTACATCCACAGAACAGCTGACCTTCGGGACCGGGCCCCGGGCTCCGCTGCTGCTGAAGGCCAGGGCTGCAAAGCGAACAAAGCCCGCAGGTCCCGCGGCAAGGCGCAGGGGCTTGCAGCTCTGGGCGGGCAGGGCGGACCGACCCCGGACAGACCCGTAGCCCAGCTGTCGGACCAGAGCAGCGTTTAGTCTTCAGACCCTGGGGAAAACCACAGAGGCCTCAGTGCCTGTAGCGCGTCGGGGACTGCGACCGTGGCCGGGACGCGGGGGCGCGGTGCACACCCGGACGCAGCCCCCCAGCCCCTTCCCAACAGGCCCCGCGGCTCCGCCAGACACGCCCCACGTGACTTCCCCGGCTCGGGGCTTCCCCGCCCAGCAGGCTGCGGCCCCCGCCCCGCCGCGCGAAACTACGACCTGGGAGCGAAATCTGTCCCGTAAGACAGCAGCGCGCAGGCGCGAAGCGTGGCGGCCCGGCGCGGTGCTCCCGGCCTGCCCCGCGTGCGCGCTGACGCTGCGCAGTCTCGTTCCCGGCTGCCGCCGTCGCTGCCGCTGTCGCTGCTGCCGCCGCCGCCGCCGCCATTGGAGTCGACGCCTCCTCAGCGCGTCCGCGTCTGGGGCTCACCGCCGTCGCCGCCTCGTCAGGGGCCCGCGCGCCCAGCAGCCGCCGCCGCCGCCGCCCGGCCGGCGCCCGGGGAGTTGGCGGCGGGGCCCGGGGCCGCGCGAGCGAGGGTGACAGGCCCGGCCTCTCGGGGAGGCCCGAGCCGGCGGGCGCCCCGGCCCCGCGTCTAGTTGTTCATGAAGCATGTCGGCCACCAGCGTGGATACCCAGGTAGCGGGGCCGGGTTACGGGGGCCGCGGCCGGGGCCGAGTCGCGGGGGCTGGGTTAGGGTCCTGGGGCTGGACCGCAGAGGCCGGGGTCGCGGGGGCCGGCGTCTCGGGGCCGGGGTCGCACGTGACCGCGCCTCGGGGCCTGCAGAGCTCGCTGCCCGCTGGAGACCAGTTCTCTGGTGAATAACTTTGTGTTTCCTTTTTTCCCTGGGTTGTGTGTACCCCACGTCCCGGCCTGCGGCGGTGCAGAGAACAAAAGGACAAGATAATAAAGGTGAGCGGAGTCCCGGGACGGCCGGCGCGGGCTGGAGTGGAGGAGGACGGGGAAGGAACGGTCCTGGAAGCTGCGTCTGGGACCGGAAACTTTCTCTCTTCCGCCAGCTTCAGGGAGATAAAACTTGAGGTTGTGTGACGATTCTGGGAGATTTGACAGGTCGAAGACAAGGGCTTCTCAAAAAGTGAATAAATGAGTGCTCAGAGTAATTTGGGCCCTTCTCTCCCCACTGCATGATCATGGATTTGCTTTGGGGAAGGGGAGGTAGGAGAGGAGGCTTTGCCAGGTGGACATGGCCGCAGGGGACGAGCGACTTGCCTTTTGCTGCCCAGTAGGGGCTGCTCTAGGAGAGGGGCAGTCCGAGGTTCTGCAGGCTAAGCTCCATATCCCGGGTAGTTTCAGCCCGTTTACAAGTCTGTTAGCATCTCCTGTGACATTATGGCTTGGGATAAACCCTCAGAGCGCACTGGTGTGAAAATTGGAACACTTTTTTAGTTAGTTTGTGTGTCAGCTCAGGTGTAAACAAATACTGTGGTTCGTCGTGTTTTAAGATTGGAAAAGGCCCAGCACTTTATTTACCTTTGCTTTCTTTTTCTGACTGAGCATAATAACAGTGGGAAGGTAAGTGGTGTGAAAGGAAGATCAATCTTCCGGCGCCCAAATCACTGAGCCAAAGGGAGAAAGCTACGCTGGGAACTGCTTAGGGCAAACCTGCCTCCCCTTCTATTCTTGAAAAAGGTAGTTTCTAAGACATAAAAAGTTACATACCTCCCCCACAGTTTGCCCACAAGGAAATTCCTGGTGGACAAAGGACAGAAGTCAGAGTCATTCCTCCTCACTGAGATAAATGCTTATCTGATTGCTTCGTTTGGAAAGGCTGATCAGAAACTCAAAAGAATGCAGCCTCTTACCTACCTATGACCTGGAAGCCCCCTCCCTGCTTCAAGTTGTCCTGCCTCTCCAGACCAAACCAATGTACATCTTACATTGATTGTTCTCACGTCTCCCCAAAATGTATAAAACTAAGCCGTGTCCCGACCACCTTGGGCACGTGTTGTCAAGACCTCCTGAGGCTGTGTCATGGGTGTGTCCTTAACTTTGGCAAAATAAATTTTCTGAATTGACTGAGACTTGTCTCAGATATTTGGGGTTCACTGTGGAGAGTCAGATAATAACTCCCAGTAGTCCTTCAGTTGCAGCCCCTTCCCTCCTAAGTTTTCTTCCCTCAGTTCGCCATACATTTGGGCATACATTCTGCATTTGGGTGTTTGGAGGCTGCACTTCTATTTGCCACACATAGGTCTTTATTAGACCATGTGAGTTTCACCCTGGTTATGTGTTCCTTGCATTATGTGTTAACACTTAATTTGGTCAATCTCACCAAATTATGATTAAGCCTTTATTTAAAATTTAGCTTAAATTATTGAAAGTTTCCTGTCACCCTTCTAATTAGTTGTGTAAACATCAGTTCTATACTGGTCTTACTCCTTTTAAAATAAAAGCATAATTTCTACTAGAAATAGATGGAAATAGACTTTACTAACTTTGACTTCCATGCTTAAAAGTAATCTTTTAAAATTTGAGGGTAATATTTTGCAACTTTTTGTTCTAGTACAAAATGGTTCTTTACATCAGAAGGATACAGTTCATGACAATGACTTTGAGCCCTACCTTACTGGACAGTCAAATCAGGTGAGTTTATTTTGTTAGCATATATTTGTTTTTAAGTTGGTTTTAATTGTCGTGTAACACACCTTTGTTGTCATTTCTGATTTTTAAATTATCCTAAACAGCAAAGCAGCAGACTATAAAGTATTAGAAATGATAGAATGCTCATGAAGATGTGCCTCCTGTTAACCCTGGGCATGAGTGGGATGAAAATGATTTACCCCGTGGAGGAGGCAGCATCCCAATGGGGCCGGGATGCAAACAGGTCTAGTTGGCTCCAGTTTTTGTGGGTCACTGTTGTATCTTGCCTTTGACGCAGTGGAGTTGTGTGTGTTTCTGAGGCTTACTGGTTATTTTTCGCTCTGGATGATTGGAATTGTGGTCTCGGGAAGCAGCTGAGAGCTGGGCTGTGGAGCAACTGTGGAGCCAGACGCCGCCTGGTTTTCAGTCTTTTTTTTTTTGAGACAGAATCTCACTCTTTGTTACTGAGACTGGAGTGCAATGGTACGATCTCAGCCCACTGCAAACTCTGCCTCCCGGGTTCAAGTGATTCTCCTGCCTCAGCCTCAGGAGTAGCTGGGATTACAGGCGCCCACCGCCACGTCTAGCTAATTTTTGTATTTTTAGTAGAGACAGGATTTCTCCATATTGGCCAGGCTGGTCTCAAACTCCTGACCTCAGGTGATCCACCTGCCTCGGCCTCACAGAGTGCTGGGATTATAAGCGTGAGGCACCACGCCTGGCCTGATTTCAGTTTTAACTCCACCACTGACTGGCGTGTGTCTGTGGCTTGCCTTCTCTTGCCTCAACTTTCTTTTCTGTGGAAGAGAGAGGAGTAATTCTTTATAGAATTGTTGGGAGGATGACATCAGGTGGTGTACATAAAGCACTGAGACAGTACCTGATACAGCAGGGCCCAGTGAGTCATAGCTGCCCTGTTTTCTTAGGTAATTCAGGCTTTCTCTGCCTTGGCACTGTGGACATTTTGCATGGGAACATTCTGTTTTGGGGGCTGTCCTGTGCATTGTTGGATGTTTAGCAGCCTCCCTGGCTTCCCACCCACTAGATGCCATTAGCAACTCCCTCTCCCCATACCGAGTTGTAGCAAGCAAAACTATCTTGGCTTATGTTTTTTGGGGAATACAATTGCCCTGGTTAAAATCTACTGGGAGCTGCTCTCTCTCCTTTGTGCTACTGTTGCAGCAAAACTCCCAAGAGAAGCCATATCTGGTTAAGAGTCCAACTCAGGCCGGGCGCGGTGGCTCACGCCTGTAATCCCAGCACTTTGGGAGGCCGAGGCGGGCGGATCACAAGGTCAGGAGATCGAGACCATGGTGAAACCCCGTCTCTACTAAAAAATAGAAAAAAATTAGCCGGGCGCAGTGGCGGGCGCCTGTAGTCCCAGCTACTCGGGAGGCTGAGGCAGGAGAATGGCGTGAACCCGGGAGGCGGAGCTTGCAGTGAGCCGAGATCGCGCCACTGCACTCCAGCCTGGGCGACAGAGCGAGACTCCGTCTCAAAAGCAAACTATCTTGGCTTATGTTTTTTTGGGGAATAAGCACCGTTCTGGTTAACTACTGGGAGCTGCTCTTCTCCTTTAGTACTGTTGCAGCAAACTCCCAAGAGAAAGCCATATCTGGTTAAGAGTCTATCTGTGGTTGGCGGGCTTATGTCTGCTCCCAGCAGCTTGGGAGGGGCCGATGGCGGACATGGGCAGTCAGGAGGGAGATCATGTGAAATTCCGTCTCTACTAAAAATAGAAAAATTAGCCGGGCGCAGGGTGGCGCCAGCCCCAGCTGGCCGAGGCTGAGGCAGGTGAGAATGGCGTGAACCCGGGAGGCGGAGCTTGCAGTGAGCCGAGATCGCGCCACTGCACTCCAGCCTGGGCGACAGAGCGAGACTCCGTCTCAAAAAAAAAAAAAAAAAAAAAAAAGAGTCCAACCTTGTGAACCAGACCCTGCCTCCAGGCCAGTGGTTTGATGAGAGGTTGCACCCCGTGAGCTCCTCACTGGTGAGCAGGCCTCATGGGGCAGCACAAAGCAGATGCTCGCATTCCCTTCCTTTCCGCGCTCAAATAGCCCTCAGCTACTGGGCATGTTTTAAAGTAAAACCAGGCTTCACCTCTTCTCTCTGTGAAGGAATAAACTTAGACTTCCCTTTTCTTTTTTTTTTTTTTTTTTTTTTTTTTTTTTGAGACGGAGTCTGGCTCTGTCACCCAGGCTGGAGTGCAGTGGCCGGATCTCAGCTCACTGAAGCTCCGCCTCCCGGGTTTACGCCATTCTCCTGCCTCAGCCTCACGAGTAACTGGGACTACAGGCGCTGCTACCACGCCCGGCTAGTTTTTTTTTGTATTTTTTAGTAGAGACGGGGTTTCACCGTGTTAGCCAGGATGGTCTCGATCTCCTGACCTCGTGATCCGCCCGTCTCGGCCTCCCAAAGTGCTGGGATTACAGGCTTGAGCCACCGCGCCCGGCCTAGACTTCCCTTTTCTAAGGTGTCTTAGAACTTAGAATGTTCCTTCGTCCCCCTCACTCCTACTGCACTTGGCGAATCAAGCCGCTTGGAGACCA